TAACTACAATAAGAACATAGTTGAACAAATAGAGAATAAATCGGGCAAACTATATTAACATGTCAAGAAGTTCATCCTTCAATAGGTTCCATCAAAACCTCAGACTAAATATTTAGCTACTCATACTAGTGTTCATCATAATAAAAGCCATATTCATCACAAATGGTAAAATACAAAAGGAAGAAAGGAAGAACTCGATGTTGAATTATACTCCTTGCCTCTTGCCTCTCATTGAAATTTTCCTTAATAGAGTAGCTTCTTATTTCATTCAGTAGTTTCTTTTTCAATTGGTAGCTTCTTACTTTTACAAGTTTTCGTGATCAATAAGCCTTTGGTTTTCTTAATGCTCTTTCCAAAGGTAGAATTTGTGTGAATTGGGTGGCTCTTCCCGATGATGGATGGCGTGACAACCTTCTTAAGGGTTTGAGTCTGTTTTTCTTTATGTTTTTGTGTAAATAGTAGTAATGAATAAAAGTGACTCAGGCAAAGCTTCACTTGGGCCTAGCACATTTATCCTTGNTCAATTTAGCTCCAATTACAGTTCTAAGTCCTCATACACGCAACTCACTCCTGCAAAACATGAAATTCACAATTAGAGCTAATTTATCATCATTTAACTATCCTATAACAGTGAAACATAGTCAAGCTGGGGCATAAACAGTCGCCAAATTACATGAATCTAGCCTATTATCAGTGCAATTGAAGCACATTCTATTGTAGACCATAAGGTTACTGATTCCAATACTTTGTTCTTTGGCATGATCGATTGGGACACCCTGGATCAATTATGATGAGACGGATTATAAAAAACTCAAATGGGCATCCATTAAAGAATTTAAAGATTCTTTTAAATAAGGAATTTTCTTGCACTTCTTGTTATCAAGGCAAGTTAATTATTAGACCATCACCAACAAAGGTTGGGATTGAGTCCCCTGCATTTTTGGACCGTATACAAGGGGACATTTGTGGACCTATTCACCCACCTATTGGGTCGTTTAGATATTTTATGGTTTTAATAAATGCATCTTCTAGATGGTCTCATGTGTGCCTATTGTCCTCTGGCAACCTCGCGTTTGCAAAATTAATGGCACAAATAATTCGATTAAATGCAATTTCCCGATAATCCAATTAAGTCTATTAGACTTGATAATGCTGCTGAGTTTTCATCCCAAGCATTTAATGATTATTGCTTATCAATTGGGATAAAAGTGGAACATCCTGTAGCTCATGTTCACACTCAAAATGGCCTTGCAGAGTCTTTAATTAAACGTCTGCAATTTATAGCAAGACCGTTACTCATGAAAATGAGGTTGCCCACTTCTGTTTGGGGTCACACCATTTTGCATGCAGCAATGCTAGTTCATCTCAGACCGACAAATTATCATAAATATTCCCCGTTGCAATTAGTTTTGGGTCATGAACCTAATATATCCATTTAAGAATTTTTGGATGTGCAGTATATGTGCCTGTAGCACTGCCATATCGCACCAAAATGGGCCCCCAAAGAAGGTTAGGAATATATGTTGGGTTTGAATCGCCCTCCATTATTCGCTACCTCGAAACATTAAAGGGGGATTTGTTCACTGCACGATTTGCAGACTGTCGATTCAATGAGACACTTTTCCCAAAATTAGGGGGAGAAATTGGTGAAATCAAACGGGAAATTTTGTGAAAAAATCCATCATTATCTCATCTTGATCCACATGCCTCTATTTGTGAAAAAGAGGTGCAAAAGATTATCCATTTGCAAAGAATAGCAAATCAAATGCCAGACGCATTTACGGATCTGAAAAGGATAACAAAATCACATATCCCTGTAGAGAATGTTCCAACCCGTATTGATGTCCCTATTGGACAATCTTCTAGTGTCATTGCTAATGAGTCAAAAGCACGCCTAAAACGTGGCAGACCATTAGGTTCTAAGGATCGAAATCCTAGAAAAAGGAAAACAAATGATCAAGATGATACTACAAAAGAGTCTCATGAAGAAATCTACGATTTAACCAATCCCGAGATTCATGAGGAAATCACTGAGCCTAAGACTCAAGAAAATAAGTAACTATCAATACATCCAATCGATATTGAGACAAATTTGAATCGAATGGATATAGTGGTGGATTATGTCTTTGCATATAATGTTGCATCTAGCATTATGCAAGATAGTGAGGATCTTGAACCTCAATCTGTTGGAGAATGTCGACAAAGACGTGATTGGCCAAAGTGGCAAGAAGCAATCCAATCAGAGTTGAATTCACTTGCAAAACGTGAAGTTTTTGGCCTTGTAGTCCAAACACCTAATGGTGTTAAGCCTGTTGGCTATAAATGGATCTTTGTACGCAAGAGGAATGTGAAAAATAAGGTACAAAGATATAAGGCACGCCTTGTTGCACAAGGATTTTCACAAAGGCCAGGTGTCGATTATGAAGAGACATATTCACCCGTTATGGATGCTATAACGTTCCGTTATCTCATTAGTTTTGCTGTCCATAAAAAGCTTGACATGCATTTAATGGATGTGGTTACCGCCTACCTTTATGGCTCACTTGATAATGAGATATACATGAAAATTCCCGATGGATTTAAAATACCTAACGCACATAATTCAAAGTCCCGAGAAATATTTACAATCAAATTGCAAAGATCTTTGTATGGTCTAAAGCAATCAGGATGAATGTGGTATAATCGTCTTATTGAGTATTTATTAAAGGAAGGTTATATAAATGATGCCATTTGTCCATGTATTTTTATAAAGAAAACAACATCGAAAATTGTTGTAGCCGTAGATGTTGATGACATAAACCTTATTGGAACTCTTATAGAACTCCAAAAGGCAATTGATTATTTAAAGAAGGAATTCGAGATGAAAGATCTCGGAAAGACAAAATTATGTCTTCGTTTGCAAATTGAACATTTGGCAAACGGAATTTTTGTTCATCAATCTACCTACATAGAAAAGGTATTGAAATGGTTTTACATGGATGGAGCACATCCATTAAATACTCCGATGGTTATTCGATCACTTGATGTGAATAAGGTACCATTCCGACCCCAAGAAGAGAATGAAGAGCTACTTGGTCCTGAAGTATCATATCTTAGTGCAATTGGTGCACTAATGTATCTTGCTAATACTACAAGGCCTGACATAACTTTTTCAGTTAATATCTTAGCAAGATATAGCTCTGCTCCCACAAGGAGATATTGGAATAGAATCAAACACATATTGCGGTATCTAAAAGGGACTACCGATATGGGCTTATTTTATGGCAATAATTGCTGTCCCGATCTTGTTGGTTATGCTGATGCATGGTATTTATCTGACCCACACAAGGCTCAATCTCAAACAGGTTATGTAATGTTTACTTGTGGAGGCACTGCCATATCTTGGCGATCGACTAAGCAATCAATTGTGGCTATTTCATCTAATCATGCTGAGATAATTGCTATTCATTAAGCAAGTCGAGAATGTGTGTGGTTGAGGTCTATAATACATCTTATTCGAGACAAATGTGGTTTGAAATGTGATAAACTACCCACGATTTTGTATGAAAATAATGCAACATGCATAGCCCAACTGAAGGGAGGATTCATAAAAGGAGATAGGACAAAGCATATTTCACCAAAGTTATTTTTCACACATGATCTTCAAAAAAATGGTGATATTAATGTGCAACAAATTCGTTCAAGTGATAATATGGCTGATTTGTTCACAAAATCTCTACCGACGTCAACCTTCAAGAAGCTAGTGCACAAGATTGGGATGCGAAGGCTCAAGGATGTGAAATGATGCTCTCATCTGGGGAAGTTTAATACGCGTTACACTCTTGTTTCCTTACAAGGTTTTGTCCCACTAGGTTTTCCTTGCAAGGTTTTTAACGAGGGAACCAAAAGGCGTATTGTTAGATATGTGTACTCTTTTTCCTTTTCTAGAATTTTTTTCCCATTGGATTTTATTTTAGTTAAGGTTTTAGTGAGACACATTACTTATTGAGTAGACATTCAAGGGGGAGTGTTATGAATAGAATTGTAATCAGAGTGAATGTTTATCTTTTGGAGAGTTTTACTTTGTGGCTAAGTCATTTTCTCCCTATAAAAAGGGCTCTTACCCCATTGTAAATCATCCCAAAACAATAAGAATTACTCTCTCTTTCTCTGCAATATTGTTCTTCTACTTTTATTGTTTTATTACACTATTCAGTTATTAATAATATTAACTCCTATCGATAACCGACCTTTCATCTCTGTCTGATTTTTTTTTAATCTTGATCCAAAGTTTTCTATCAATAATAATTTTTTTTATCTTAATAATGCAAGACTTATTAAGTGTTAACGTACTGTATGACCTATGCAAACTATTTGAAATTGAGCAACTTTATCATTATCAAATTTTGATCTTTATCTAATATTATTTCGCATAAGAAAAGGGTAAATATGGATAATTTTTTCAAAGAATTTGGATACGTAGTGTGAACTACACACATTCTATGTTGGAGTTTCATTAATGATAAGAGCAAATACGAAACGATTTGTTAACTGTAAAAATATGAATGAACCAAAAATCTAATAATGATGAAATTAAGCAATTTTGAATAACATTGGAACAAATTTACACCTTTTCTCTTGACCATATTACAAGCTTTTCCTATGGAGAAAGCATCAACAGGAAATGAGCCAAACATGCACTCCAGGGGTAATCTTATGTTCTTCTTTTTTCATTTTCCACCTTTGGTGTTTTACCAGTAATTAGGTACCTTCTGCTGTTGTAAAGTGAGGTTATAATAAATTTAAGTAAAATATATATAAATACAATATTTGCCATTATTTTAAACAATTTCATTTTAATATTAAGTGCATTGGGTATTTAAATCGATCCTCCTTTTTTTTGGTAACTAAAGATTTTATTAATTACCAGAGTGTTTACAATAAGGAACCATAGCTAGACTACATCACAGTCTGCTATCTAGTCTAAGAACACAAAGAACTACTTAACTACTAGAGCTAAACTAAATACTAAGCTGCTGAACCAGTTTTTTAATTCTAGTAGATGCCCGGATATTACAAACATATGCAATCTCCCTCACCAATTGACTAAGACTCTTTGCTATTTTTTCAAATCTTCTCTGATTTCTCTCAATCCGCATTGTATGTACCCATTCAGTATAAGCCAACTTAAAGATTTGAGCTCTATGTGATTTACCCTTTGATGCTTTAATGATCCATTTCTCCATTTGTTCCCATTGTGATGTCCTGAAGAGAGGAACCTGCACCCATTTCAACACTCCTTCCCAGACTTTGCTAGAGAAAGGACACTCCATGAATACATGATTTCTTATTTCATTGTGACTGTTATATAGATTGCATATAGGATCAACATTTATCCCCCAGGAGGCAAGTCTATCAACAGTCATTAGTTTCCCATGCATCTGCAACCACACTGTGAATTGAGCTTTTGGTCTAGCATCATTTCCAAATCTCAATGTCTTCCAAGTTGTTCTCTCATTATCACCAATAAGCTTAAGGTAACTCTGCTTGATTAAGCTGCCTGTTTTGATATCTTGAATTACTGCCACTGTGTCTCTTGCTTCAAATATTTTCCTCACCATCCATCTTGCCTGTTGAGGGATAGACATTTGACTGAATTGCTGATTCTTGATGTAGTAGGCATCTAACCACCCGATCCACAATCTATCTGCCTTATTTTCAATATCCCAACTTGCCTTAGCTATTGCAGCTTTATTCCATAGTCTTATATTTAGCAAGCCTAGGCTACCCATTGACTTTGGAGTGCAAACCTTATCCCAAGCATTTAGAGCTTTCCTTGTGATTGTGTTTGTGCCAGACCATAAGTAGCTTCGACAATAGGCCTCAATTGTACTTAGTACTTTTGAAGGAATAGAAAACAATTGAGACCAATATGCTTGAATACTAAAGAGGACTGTTTGGATTAACTGAGATCTCCCTGCATATGAGAGTTTCTTTGCAATCCAAGATGAGATTCTGGCTACCATTTTATTGATCAATGGTTTCCACTGAAGTAAAGAGATCTTTTTAGTGGACAAGGGGATTCCCAGATATTTGAAGGGGAGCTCTCCTTTTGGAAATCCTAACAGATGCAGGATTTGATCTTGAATGATCTGAGTGACTCCTCCAAAATAAATGGAGCTCGTCTCTTTGTTAGCTTGAAGTCCTGAAGCAGAAGAGAAGTCCAAAAAACACCTATTCAATATGGAAACCGACTCAACATCTCCTCTAGAGAATAACAATAGATCATCTGCAAATGATAAATGAGTCACTGCTAGTTTAGAGCACTTTGGGTGTTACTTGAACTCTTTATTTTCCTTTCAACTCATTGAGCTTTCTACTTAAGTATTCCATGGCTAAGGCAAAGAGAAATGGTGAAATTGGGTCTCCCTGTCTTAGCCCTTTAGTTGCATCAAATGGAGCTGTGGGTTTTCCATTAACCAATATAGAATAGTTAACTGTCTTCACACATTCTAAGATATACATGGTGAATTGTCTAGGAAAGCCAAGCTCATCTAGGACCTGCTCCAGAAATATCCATTCTACTGAGTCATATGCCTTTTGAAGGTCAATTTTTATCATGCATCTAGGGGAAATATTCATCCTTGTATAGGATTTCACCAGTTCTTGAGCAAGAAAGATGTTATCTGATATCTTCCTGCTTGGAATAAATTCAGCCTGTGCTTCACATACTACTGATGCAATAACTTTCTGGAGTCTTGAGGCAAGAACTTTAGAAATGATTTTGTTCAGAACAGTACAACCAGCAATTGATCTATATTCTTTCACTGTCACAGGATGATCATTTTTAGGGATCAAGGTGAGAGAAGTATAGTTAATAGCTCTATTCATCTTGACACACTCAAAGAATCTTCTTACTGCCCTTGTAATCTCTAGCCCCACTATACTCCATGCCTTTTTAAAGAAATAGGCATTATACCCATCCACCCCTGGATTTATCATTTCCAATTGAACTCAGTCCATCAGCTATTTCTTGGTCAGTAACTGGAGCACACAAGAGGATTTGTTGTTCATGACTTAGCTTGGGTCCCTTGCTCAGTGTAACTTTGTTGACTGCCTTTAGTGAGGGACTAGAGGTCCCCATTAACCCTTTGTAGAATGATACAATTTCATCTCTGAGCTCCTTAGGATCAGTCAGCAACTTAACACCTGACAAGGAATTGAGTTCCATAATTTGCTTCCTTTGGCTTCTTTCCTACATGACTGCAGCAAAATATTGTGATGACCCAAAAGGTCAACTTATGTTTTAGAACTAGATTTTACGCTCTTAAGCCTTAAAAATCTTATTTTACCTCTTCAATTTACGTGCGCCGTCCGGGCGTGTTTTTGGAAAACTTTTATGTTAAAAGTTGATAAAAATAAGAATTTTTGCTTTAAAAGTTGATTTTAGTTGACTTCGGTCAATGTTGTGAGTAAATGGATCCAGAACCATGTTTTGACGGTCCCGGTGGGTCCGTAATGAAATATGGGACCTGGGCATATGCCCGGAATCGAATTTCGAGGTCCCTAGCTCGAGATATGAATTTTTATTGAAAATTAAAAGTCTAAAAATCTAATAGTTTTAAAGAATTGATTGATGTTTGGCCTTGTTGATACCGGGTCCGTATCTTGGTTTCGGAGTCCGGTATAGGTCCAATATAATATTTACAACATATCTGTGAAATTTGGTGAGAAACGGAGTTGGTTTGACGTGATTTGGACGTCCGGTTGAGAAATTAGAAGTTTCAAAGTTTTCTTGAGAATTTCGATTGATTTGGTGCTAAATTTGTAGTTCTAGGTGTTATTTTGGTGATTTGATTGCTCGAGAAAGTTTGTATGATGTTTTAAGACTTGTCTGCATGATTGGCTTTGAGCCTCGAGGGCTCGGGTGAGTTTCGGATAGGCTATGGAGAGAAAATACAACTTAGAACACTGCTGTGCATCAAATTTTTTGTTGCAGGCCTCAGACCTCGCAATGCGAGGTCAAGCATCACATTTTCGACCACTGCTGGGTTCGCATTTGCAATCCACTCGTCGCATTTGTGAAGAGTGGCTGGGAAGGCTAGCATTCGCATTTGAGAACAATAGTTCGCATTTGCGAACTGGGACAGGGGGAGGCAGTCTTCACATTTGTGATCATGGGATCGCATTTGCGGCCAGCTTAGTTCGCATTTACGAACTTTTCTTCGCATATGCGAAGATGGCAGAAATGTGAGCATCTTCGCAAATGCGATGGATTTCTCGCATTTGCGAAGCCCAGGTCGCATTTGCGACATCTGCAGCTGGTAAAAGTGACTTAGACGGGATTTTTCTCCCATTCTTAAAATTTTCAAAACTTAAACCACAAGAGTCGATTTTCCAAAGATCTTTTCTTCCCCAAATCATAGGTAAGTGATTCTAAATTAGTTTGTTTCAATCTTTCACTTTATTTTTACAAGATTTCAACCTAGAATCTAAGATTTTCATGGTGGAATTGGGGATTATTGGGTAGAAACTAGGAATTTCGAAATTTGGGGATTTAGACCTCAAATTGAGGTCGGATTCCAAAAACCAATGGTATATCCGAGCTCGGGGGTAAATGGGTAATCGGGTTTTGGTCTGAATTTCGGGTTTGGACCAGGCGGACCTGGGTGTTGACTTTTGTTGACTTTTTCAATAATGGCCTAAATTGAATTCTTTATGATCGTGGGTGATTCCTAAGGCTTATTTTGAATCGTATGGTTGGTAATTTGCTATATATTTTTGGTTCGGAGGCTAGTTTGAAAGGCAAATCCGTGGTTGAGCTTTGAGTGGTCTTTGGAGCGAGGTAAGTGTCGTGTCTATCTTTGACTCGAGGGATTAGGAACCCTTGACTTATTTGCTATATGAAATCCATGTGAGCGGCGTATAGGTGAGGTGACGAGTACCTATGCGCCGCCAATTTATTTGTTTTTGCCTGTTTCTTTCGCGTTCTTCTCACATTATCTCTTTCCCTGTCATAACTGCTACATGCTCTACTTGTATTTCCATGCTTACTTGCTACCTGATAGATATTGTTTTCTCTTTGTTGAAGGTATTAGTTATTTTGTAGCTTCGTTGCCTCCTATTATTTGCTTAGGCTGGTTATCGGTACTTTCATGATATATTTTGGATTGGTCTCGATGAGTAGTATTACTTGTGTAAAGTCTCATAGTGTATAAGCTTCCTAGTTATTTTGGTTTGAAGTTAAGCCTTGTGAAGGGTTATGTGATTTGAATTGTGAAATTCCTATACTTGTTGTATAACTGATACTGACATGGTGGGATCGGATTGCACGCCGCAACAAGTGGAATAAGGGTGATATATTGAGGAGGAATAAGGGTGAAATGATACGTACAGTGGGATCGTGTTGCACGCCACAACAGATGTAATAAGGGTGGATTGTGGTAAAATAAGGGTGAACTGTGATTGTGATTATTGTGATATGGTAGGATCGAGTTACAAGCCGCAACACTCTTATCTATATTCTATTGTTTATGTTAATAAGAGGAAATAAGGAAGTAATATGAGATGTACGGTAGGATCGGGTTGCACGCCGCAACAACCTATATGCTTATATTTTCCTTGACTATTAGATGAACAATAATCTTAAATTGCACTTAAGGATAGGTAATAGCTGAACACTGATGATATGCTTCGAGAACTGTATTCACTTCTTGCGAGTTACTACTCTATTTTATCCCGTCTTTCTCTCTGCTTTTATTATACACTATATGCAGGTTATATTGTAATTTCCCCGCCGTAGCCTCGTCACTCCTTCGTCGAGGTTAGGCTTGAAGCTTACCAGTATATGGGGTCGGTTGTACTGATACTGCACTTTGCATTTCATGTGCAAATTTTTGAGTTGGTTCGAGCTAATCGAGAGGTTGGCTATAGGATTCATCAGCTAGGAGACCCAAGGTATACCTGTCGGCGTCCGCAGGACCTGGCGGCCCCTTCTATACCTCATACTTTACTGTTTTCCTTATTTCGCAAACGGTTGTATTTTCTTTCAGAAAAATACTTGTAGTAAAATCTTAGAATGTTCGTGAATTGTGACTCCAGATTTTGGGTAGTGATAGTAAAAAATCAAAGTTGTTATTTATGTACTTTCGCGTTCAATTCGAATTGTTTTAGCTGCTTATTGTAAATCACTGAAACGTAAAGGAATTGGCTATAAATCTCTAACGTTGACTTTCCTAGTAAGTGTGATGTTAGAGCCATCATGGTACCGATGGTGGGGATTTCGGATCGTGACAAATACTTAGAATTTGAATCCCCCAACTGTATCCATTGGGCTCTAGACTTTTGCCTTAGAATACTCTCCTAAAGCAGGTTCCATTTTTCAAGATTCATCAAAGCTTCTTCTCTTTAATCACAAGACTGTCATCATATCTAGCTACTACTGCTTGAATACATTGTAGTTCTTCTCTTGCCTTCTCAATCTTCACTGATGTGGCTTTAAACTCTTTTTGATTCAGCTGTCTGAAGACTGGCCTCAGTGCCTTTAGTTTGTTCCATACATTCTGCATAGGATCTCTATCAAGCTGCTTATTCCAGTGGACATCAATTAGCTCCAAGAATTATGCATGCTCACTCCATATGTTGAAGAATCTGAATGGAGCTCTGATTCTATCGTTCACACTCTGCAATGCCAATAGCATTGGGGCATGGTCTGAAATGTTAGGGAGGTCATATTCTAAGACAATATGGCCCCACAACGTCATCCAGTCATAATTACCAAATGCTCTATCAATTTTGCTACTAACTCTCTCTGATCCTTGTTGCTTGTTTGACCATGTGAAATATTCACCTTTCCATTGTAATTCATTTAGTAGAGTGGCATTAATACAGTCTGAAAAATCCTTCACTTCACTGAAACTCACAGGATGGCAGCTCATTCTATCACTAGTCGACAATATTGCATTAAAGTCCCCACACACTAGCCATGGGTAGTTAGTATTACACGAGATATTTTGAAGAGTGTTCTATAGAGATCTCCTTTCCTCTATAGTATTGAATCCATAGACAATAGTCAGAACACATTGAAAGTTAGAAGAGAAATCTCTAACTTCACAATGTACTAATTGAGCTTCCATTTTTAGTATAGTTATATTGTAGTCTCCTTGATCCCACATCAGCCGTATTCTTCCATTGACAGCAGAGGAGTAGTTATTAATAATACCCCAATTGGGAGCAATATTCTTAGCTATTTTAGGACATCTATGTTTCTTAACTCTGGTTTCCAGCAGCCCCAGTAATTTGATACTTTTTGACCTTATATATTTTTTTAACTCTCTCTGTTTATACACTTTATTTACACCTCTAATGTTCCATATAAGCCAAGTCATTGAGAAGTTGTATTACCTCCCAAATCAAGAGGTCTTGCTTGTCTGATTCTCTGGTCCTTTCTTTGCAAAGGCATTACTTTCCCAGTCTTATATTTGCTAGCCATAGCAGCACTCAACTGTGGAAAGTTGATCAAGTTCAATTCCGGGCTTGGCACTTGCTCCTTGCCTTTAGAGGCATTCCTCACTGCTCCATCTGGAGTTGCTACTTGATTTTGTGAGTCAGCTTCTTGTTGTTGATGTTTGCTTTCATTAATAGATACTCTAGGTTGATCTACCTCAAGATGACCCAGCTGCTGTTTTTCTACATTTTGGCTAGTTGATGGTACCTCTTTAGGCTTCCATTCCTGAATCACCTTCTTTTGTTCACCCATTCTGTATGTCCCTCTCCATCAAGTGTTGTTCAAGTATCTTCTTAGAGCAGATGTGTCCTATAGTTAAGCATTGAGGACAGAATTGGGGCTTCTATTCAAATACCACCTGCTGAAATTTTTGTCCATTTGGCTC